TGAACTGCATCAAGGCTCCCGCGTCTTATTAAGAAACATCTCTTCTGCTTTGCTTACATCCTCCTGGGGCAGAAAATGAGAAGGAATAAGCACCCTTGCAGAGAGACAAGGGGGGAGCTGCTCAGAAATGCTCCTCCACGCCTGCGCAGGACCCCCGAGGGGCCATTAAACATCGTGTCCCCCAACAGCAAGAGGAGGGAAAGGGGGGAGCAGGGCTGAGAGCGAGCCCTTCGCCCCAGACACGAGCCCCGAGGAGCAAACACGCGGCTGCTCGCTTCCCAGCACAACCCCGCTCCTCTCTTCCCCTTTCCGACCAGCTCCGCAGGAGGAACCTCCTATCGTGGTGGGGATTTTCGGATTCAAACACAATTCCCCTCTTCTAACCTCACCCTCCAAACCACGAGCAAACCCCGCTAGCTGGGGAGCCCTGCCCCGACACCGCTCCTTCCACGCTCGCTGGAGGGTTTTAACCACCACTGCGTGGGCAAAGGTGGGGAGGACTAACCCCAATTCCTGACCTAATGTAATTAAGAGCTCTCTAAGCCCTTCAGGATGGATATTTTCTGCTCTTAATCTCTCCTCCCACCCCCTGATCTTGGAGAGGTAACCAGGTAAATTGTCACACGCATCCGGTCACGGACCATCACCGTCTCCGGCACAGCAGGCGAGGCCAGGAGCGCTCGGCACTCACTGGTCCCTGCGAGCTCCTCACGCCGCCCGGTTGCAGCAGGGGATGGAGGAGCCAAGGCGGGGCTGCCGGAGCCTTGCAGGACACCAAAGCCCCTCCAAACCCCACAGCAGCGAGGGGAGGCGCCCCCAGCTCCCGGCAGAGACTGCACCACCCTGGGGCTGCGAGGCTGGAAAGCAAAGCAACCGCGAGCCTGGTGCAAGGCCTTCACGATGAGCTGTGTCTTTTCTCCCCCTCTCTCCTGGTGCTTTTCCACCCTTGACTACCAGCTCCCAAGAGCAAACTCAGTCCATCCCCTGCCAGCTCGGCGGGCGTCAATCTCCGCTATTGCCTCTGGGTGCTACTGTAAAGCAGGGAAAAATAATCACGCACATAAAATACAGCAACCGTCGAGCACGTCAGGCACCGACGAGACCCCCTGGACAGCAGCTCCTTGACCAACAGCTTTGAGAACACCTTCTGGAGCGGGTCCCAGACAGGGAACAGCAACGCCAGCCAGTGCTTCCACCACCACGGGCCATTCTGTGTTAGATTCGCCCTGCTTTGACCGCACACCCGCCACCGACGGGCACTTACCCACTAGTCCAGCTCCCAGGAATGGTGATGAAGATATGCTGTTGTGGGACGGCAGGTCCCTGTGCTCGCCGTAGTGAGGCCCTTCGCCATAGCTCTGCTGAAGCAACACGGGAGAGTTACCACCGGGCGCGTGGGGATGCCAAGCCAAATGCCAAAACACACGGCTGTTGGAGCTCGGCCTCTCTCATCGCAGGAAGGGTCAAAGTCAAAGGCTCCTCATAAAAAGGGCACAGAAATGATCTTATCCTCACGGCAAGGGAGAGCAGGGCAGCGCAGCCACGAGGCTGCGGCACTGGGAGGGGATATGGCACCGAAGCTGGGACGTATGGGGGGTTTGCCCCATGCTGGCAGCTCTCGGGCAGTTTCTGCCTTCGCCCAGCGGCTTGGCACCCGCCAGGTGAGAGCCAGGCAGCCCCCTCCCCAAGCCAGGGGGGTGAAGAGAAGGCCTATAAAAATGAGAAATGACACCACAGCGCCTGCTCCGCCACCGACCGAAGGGAAGGGAAAGGTGCCATTGCAAAAACGAATCACACAAACCCATTAAAACGAGCATCTGTCAAAATAACACCATTCCAATTAAGTTAATGTCTTTTCTCTCTTCCCCTCCTCAGGCCCCAGTTACGCGCTCTCGCAGCCTCGACTGCTTCCCTGCGAAACCCTTCTCGTGCTCTCCATCCCCACCAAGGGCCAGCCAACAAGGTAGATTCCCCCCAAAAGCAAGCCCCCATCAGCCCCTCAGGCTCCCAAAGCCATGCATGGTGAGCGCCCAGCAAGCTTTGCCAAAAGCACAGCCCATCGGACGGGATCCCCCAACCCGCTTGGCCATGACCCCATTTGGGGACCTCTCCCACGCTGCGGCCAGGAGCCCCCCTCTCCCCACGCCAAAGCTGAGCACCGGGAGGTGAGAGGCCTGAGCAGGGAACCCACCCGGGGCGCGGGCCCAGGGGAGGTTTTTGGAGGAGAAGCCTTCTCCAGGGAGGACTTCAAGGCAGCAAAGCCTGGGGAGATGGGGACAGGGGAAGCACCTCTCCCTGCTGTGGCCCCCGCAGGGTTAACAGAACCAATGTCCAAAATGGGGCAAGAAAACCTGTTCCAGGGTTCGACCCAAGCTGGGCACAAGCACACGCACTGAGAAGCCATGGTAAAGCCCCTGTTTGTTTTGGTTGGAGCTCGGTGTTTGCGCTTCGTCCTTACCCTTCCTTGGTCAAATGTGGAGCTGTTTTGATCTCCCGTTCCCCAGGAACCTGATCCCGGTCTTTCATCCAAACCTACCGAAAAACAGGAAGAACAAAGGTTACTCTTGCTTTATCAGCAAAGCCTCAAAGGTGTTCTCGCAAAATTAACTCTTCCTTCTACAAACAAAACAATATTTTCATTAATAATCCACTTCCACTTGGCGTGACCGATCCTCCCCTCTCCCTCCTCACCTTCCCACTCCAGCTGGGAGTTTATTCCACAAACTTCAAAGCAAATCCCACCACAGCCTGGAAACGCTTCAAAACACGGGACAGTGGGAAGAGGAGAAACAAGTATTTTAAGTTGCTTTATTGCAGAGCGCGCCCATGAACCTCCCCCAGAGACTGATGGGGAAGAGGACTACGAATTTACAACTCATTACGCCCATCCCGATGCTCCAGTGGGACCCAATTTTTGCCCATGGTGCTGCCAGGTCACAGGCCAAACTCTGTTCTTCGTTGCACCCGAGCAAATTAGAAGAGCACCCAGACCTGAAAGAGCCTGGGATGGGAATCGCCGGGGGTACAACATTACCCATGGCTTAGTCACACTTTTTCAAGGGCATTTGGTATTTAAGCCCCGTCACGCTCCTGCGGAGGAAGGTGCGCCGTCAACACAGGGCTGATGGGAGCATGCTCCCCTCCACCTCGTTTTTAGCCCTCCCAAGCGTATTCTTGGCAAAGGGGATCCAACCCAAAATGGCAAAGGACCAAACAGGAGTGTTTTGAAATGTGCCTGCACACAGACTGCGGTAGGAAATAGTCTCCTTTCATCGTCTGCCAGGTCCACCCAGGCTGCGCCTCTTGGGCTACCAGCACACGAGGCACCCAGGGGAGATGGCGAATGTCCACCGGGACAAAAAAAGCCCTGGGAGTTGCATCAGCAAAGCTCTCGCAGTTCAAGCTGGCACCACAACTCCATGGAAGAAACCTTCCCTGGCGGCCGAGCCTAGACTCAACTCAGCAGCAGGATTTCCAACTGGTCCATCTCCTCCACCCCGGTGGGTGACCAGGGGTCGGTGAGCGGCCATCGGTGTCTCCCCATTCAAAGACTGGTGGGGGTAAAGCTGGGGATTTGAGAGGGGGGCGGCCCTGCAGCCGCACTTTGGAGATGCTACGGGCTTTGGAGATGCCATGGGCTTTGGAGATGCCACGGGCTTTGGAGATGCTACACAGGTACCGTGAGCTCAGCTGGGATGGACAGGGAGAAGTCCCAGATCTGCAGGAGGCTGAGCAGCACGGATGGCACCGGCCAGAGCCATCCCTCTGCCTCGTCCCACGGAAACCCCAGCCCCACTGCGGGGGGTATATGGCCACACTTGCCACGGGGCGGCACAAGAAACCTCTTGCAGTGGCTCCCGGCAGCGCCCAGCATCACCCTGTGCCCTGCCCAGAGCCAGGGGCCCCAGGGGCTTTCTGGGGACCCCCCTCCACACCGGCTCTTCCAACGATAGCGAAGCCGAGGTGCCGGCAGGGCCTTACGGGAGATTTTCTTTCAGGAGGAGAGACCCACTCGCAGCAGCGGGGACAGTGGAGGTGGCGGGGCCGGGGGCGCGCGCGGGAGCAAGGACACGGCGGGGCAGGGTTGCGGGGCGCGCTCCGGTTTCATTTTAGCAAAGCTGATTATTATGGCAAACACGCCGTGTATTTGTCTCCTCCGCTCCCCTTACTGTTCATTTAACCAGAAACTTCTTTCAAATTACATCCTTCTATTTCTGTGCCTTTGTGTTAATCATTTCCCCAGAGAATTGGTGTTTAATTGCTGTCTAATTTGCATAATTATGCATATTAATCTCTACACCTAATGAATATTCATAATTCTCATTTAGATTTTGTTTTCTAATCAAAAATTTCCAATGTGATTACTGTGCAGAGCAGGGATAAGCCTCTAATAATACCTTGGATACTAGGGAGAATTACTGCCAATTCTCCCACCTCCTACTTCCTAGAATAAACTTTTGCTTTGCTAATGTGTTTTTCTAAAGCAATTCATCTGCATACCCTGCAAACACCAACGGAGAGCAGGAGGCAGAAATGCTCCTTCTATTCATTTTGCTTTCATGGGTATTTTTAAAGCTCCCCAACGGTCAGGGTGAAGACATGAGCAGGAACTGCAGCCTCAGACATCCTTGGCAAACTCACCCCTTTGCACTGGAAGGACGAGGACTGCGGCACCGACCGGGCTTTGGCTGCCGCCAGTGCTCCCACGAGGGGAGCCCCGGAATCATAGAATCATGGAATGTTTTGGGTTGGAAGGGACCCCCAGAGGTCACCCAGCCCAACCCCCCTGCAGGAGCAGGGACACCTTGAACCACAGCAGGTTGCTCACAGCCCCGGCCAACCTGGCCTGGAATGGTCCCAGGGATGGGGCCTCCACCCCCTCTCTGGGCAACCCCTGCCAGGGTTTCACCACCCTCACTGGAAAGAATTTCTTCCTTAGATCCAGTCTAAACCTCCCCTGATTTAGTTTAAAGCCATCCCCCCTTGTCCTGTCACAAGGGGACAGGAGCCAGAGGGGAAGCTGAGGCATGGGGGTCTCGGCTCCCATGCCCACCCCTGCACCGTGCAGGATGGGTGTTCGCAGGTCCCGGCTCACCCTGCCCTCCCGGAGCGTCCCCAGGCCCAGATGCACCAGGAGAGGATGCTCAGTGGGGCAGGCTGGGGGGGGTCTGCAGGGACCTCAGGTGCCTGGAAGCCCAGTATCAATTTTTTGCCAAAATTCCTGGGGAGGGGAAGGAGTAAAAATCACTGCCAGGCCTCCCCAAGGAGGCGGCCGGCAGCACGGGTGACAAGAGCTGAGGCCAAGAGGCTAACATGACCCCAAGACGAGGAGAAACCCTCTCCACGGGCTACTTCCATGCTGCGGTGCCACCAGCGTGCCCCCAAAGAGGGGCCAAAACCGCACCACGAGACCTGGGCACCCTGTCTTTCCCCCTCAGTGCTCGTGGGGGGCAAGCAGCTCCCCACCACCCTCCCCACGCCAGCCGAGCGGGAGCCAGGAGGGCAACCCCAACCTCCTCCCATCAGCTCTGCCGCCGGGCTGCAGGCACAGCAGTGGCCAGATCCTGCAACCCCCGGGGAAACCCAAAAAGGCCTTTTCTTTTTTTTTTTTTTCCCCCTCCGGGCGCTGGTGTTCACGTGCTCGCGCGGCTGCCAAGGTGAAGCGAGGTTATCGCTCTCCCACCCAAGCGGCCAAGAAAGCGGCACGCAGCTCTGGAAGCAGCCCCAAAGGCTCAGCCGCCTCCGAACGTGCCCGTGCCAGCGTGCCGTTGCGGAGGCAGCCCCCCTGCCCCACGCCTGCTGGAAATAAAAAGGTCTCATGCCTTCCCTGAGCTGCAGTCACCGGCATGCAAGGTGCCAGCAAAAAATCTCCCGGTTTTCAGCCTGCAGGTGTTTTAAGGATTCAGGGATTTCTGGGATGAAGCCAGGAAAAAAACAGGCTGCCCTCTTTCGACTTCTGGCATCTGTCCTACATTCAACGCCAACCTGCTCTTCCCGCCCTTCATATCGGGAGTCAGGATCTGAGATTTGGCAGCAAACGCCCTCCGCCAACCCTGCGAAACCCCAAAGTTTGGCCAAGGGTGGGCGCTTCTGGAAAAGCCCCCCTCAGCAGGGTTCTGCTCCGCTCACACCACGAAATCCCCAAAGCCGGTGCCACCACCAAACGCGGTCACGCTTTCCCCAGCCCACGGCGCTGGCCGGCGCTGCCCTCGAGCCCGGCCTTCCCACAGGCGCCGCCTGGCACCGAGCAGCCGGGCTCGATCCGAATGGAGGAAGAGGAAGGGGCAGAAGACGGGAAAGCCTTGGGCGAGGAGGAGAGCGCTCAGGCAGCCCCACGCCAGCACCCCCGGGCTCTCCCCTCAAGGGTGCCCAAGCATCCCGGACCCTTCTGTCCCAGCAGCTCGGGGGGTGGCCAGGAGCACCTTGGGCCACCTGGGGATGCTTTTCCTGCCCACGGGTGCTGCTCACGTGCTGCCGGCTCCCCTGGATGCGATGGAGACCCCGCAGGCATCTCCCTCGCCCCCCAACTCTGCCTCACCCCCAGGCACGGATTTCTTGTATTAAAGCACGCGCAGTCCCGGGCAAAAAAAAAAGAAAAAAAATAATCATAAATCCAAGCCACCAACCGAGTTCATGTCAAAACTCAGGTGGCACGGAGCAGAATTACCTTTGCACAAGCCAATTTAATTCTGGCACAGCCCAGTTTTTGAGGGCTTGGCTCTGCAACGCTGCCACCGCTCCTCCAGCGCGGGGCGTGTGCGCAGTTTTAGAGACGCCCACGTGTGCGCGCGGCTGTCGGGAGCCAACTTTTATTTTAAAAGAAACCCATTTTCCAACTAACCAAGCGAAGGCGCACTTTCCAATTCAGAAAAGACAAAAATAGGAACTACCTCCTCTCTCCATTAATACAGTTATTAAAAAGCGTACAGATTAATTGTGCATTTTAATAACCCTGCGCATGAATATTCATAACACATTTCTTGCTCATGTTCTAATTAAAACGTACTAATAGAATAAGATGTAGCTGTCAGACACTAATTTTTTTTTTTTTTCCCCTTACGATTTTTGTGCCTCAGCTAAGAAGAGCTGATAGCCAAGAACCATCCTAAGCTCTCAGCATGGATAGAAATGATTTGTCCACGTTTAGTCCCAGCAAAAAAGCCCTTTGCACGATAACGAGCCATAGGAAAAGGCTACGCACAAGCGACGGGTGACGCGGGGCACCGGTAGCCGTTCCCCACCCGCGAGGAATGAAACCACTTTAAACACACAACTCTTCAACAACAAAAGGTGTCAGAGAAGGTGGAGGCTTTTCTGCCCCATCCCCACGTCCCAGCAGCCACTTACGGTCCCTCCTGCTCCAAGGTCCCGGTCTGCGCCTCCCAGCCCTCATCCACAAGGTCCCCGCAGCCGAAAACGCCGCACCAAGAGATGCTGCTTTGGTTTCAACAACCCGAGCCCCGCAAGTGAGCTGGGGCCCTGGAGCCAGCCGTGAGCCCTGGGGTGCTTTGTAGCTCTGAACCCCCCAATCC